AAATTTTATTTTTATTTTATTTTTTTTTGTTTGTTTTCATCCTGTTGAAAAAGGTTTTGATGTGCACAGGGATTTAATCTTCAGAAGGTCTCCTCTTCAGGTTATGCATTTCTGGCTTTATTTAGTAGTCTATTTATACTGTAGACTAGGCCTTCTAAACTTGATCCCCATTTGTCTCTTATGAACTTTATGGTTTTGGGCTTTAGTCCCAGGTCTCTGATTCACCTTGAATTGATTTTTGTGTATGGTGTGAGATGTGGATTCTGTTTCAGCTTTCCGCAGACGGAAGTCCAGTTTTGCCAGCACCATTTGTTGAAGAGGTTATATTTCCCCATTTGATAGGATTGATTTCCTTGTACAATATCAGTTGAACATAGATACTTGTGTCTATTTCTGGGTTCTCAATTCTGTTCCATTGGTCTATGTGCCTCTTGCTGTATCAGAAACACGTTGTTTTGTTTACTATTGCTTTATAGTAGGTTTTGAGGTCAAGGAGTCTATGTCTCTCACTTAATTTTTGTTTCTCAGAAGTGTTTTGCTTATTTGGGGTCTGTTAAGGCACAAATATTTATATGGCAAAATCTAGTAAGTGTCTACTTAGTACCAGGAGAGGTACATACACTTATATTTGCACTGCTATGCACTATGAAGGCAGGTGGCTAGAATACATCATCTACTCTGAAGGAGAAATATGGGCAATCTCCTGTGCAATTTACAGTTTCTGAAAACTTGCTGAGGGTCAGCTACTACTTTATTCTGACTTAATGGCACATGACTATTACACGAACTATGAGCTAATCTTGCAGCCAAACTTCCAGGGTCTCATTAATACCCTATTTTCAAAGTCAGATATGCTATCTTATTTTACCCAAATTAACAAGAGAGTAGTAGTATGTTATACTGAAACTTCAATATAGTACTTGACAATTGTTGTTGTTTTTATTGATTGCCATCGATCGAGAACGAATCATAGTGACCTTATGAACAAAAGGTCTTTCTATAACTATCATCATTTATCAAAGCTCTTAAGAGTTTCCAAAGGTATGTTATTTAGGACATGGATGCCACTCCTGCACCCAAACATGTCATGAACTCAGAGCTCCACCAACTACTGTCCACCAGGGGTAACCATTATGGTATTTGACACTGTAATGGTACAATGTTCAGTAACACAGCAACCCTAGGTTACCACAGTATAGCATATTGACAGAAGAGTGCTGTACCACTAAGAAGAATGTTCCTCGAAAATTTAATAACAACTTAAAATACAAAGGCCCTTCCTGAGGTCTTGTTAATTCTAAACAAGAGGTTTAAATAAAAAGCAATCCATATAATATGTTTTTGTTGTTACGTACTGTTGAATCACCTGCGATGTATAGGGACCCTATATACAGATCTCTGAACCCTTCCTTGTCCTTAGCCAGTCTCACTAATTCTGACAATGTCTGTGCTTACAATTCAGAAGT